ATTTGATAATATATTGCTAAAATAAATTAGTAATATTTATACATAATTAAGTATCATTTTCCAAATATTATTAAAAATTATTTGTATTGTAGTATTAGCTACTGTAATATAATAGTGATATTGGTAGCGAGTTGATATAGCATATAGACGATTTTTAATTTGAATTTTAATATTGTTATTATAATTTTGATAGATAAAAAAATATATTATAATACTAGTAAGTATAATTTGGAAATCTGTCTTGATTGATCATACTAACACTTTTTATTGATAGGCACACTCGTTCTAACATCTCCTTTTAACCGGAGTAAGGGAAAGGATGCTTGCTGTTTCCACAAAAGAACGGCATATAAGTCAAAAAAAAAAAAAAAAGGAAGGTTGGCAACTACCCTTAACCTAAGCTGAAGGTGCCATGCAATAAAATGCTATATTAAAGAGTCGCATGATGGATCCATCAGAAGGATATGTATACATCACGAGGTCTAGTTTTTTGTGATGACTATAATTGGATGTGATCTCGTTCGCAAGGAATGAATCTATTGGCCTTTTCCTTTTCACAAATTCTACTCTTACAACTAAATGTTGAGTACGGCAAGTTACCACACATATACACATTATTGTCCATTTTGAGTTCAAGTCTTCATAGTTTTTTTTTTTTTACATTATTTAAAAGGTCTTTCAACCAATGAAGACAAGTGTGTATATAAACTCATATCTATCTCTTGTTTAAATGATATGAGACTTTGCTTGCATCCCAACACTAAAAGAGATAAATCAAATATCCAATAAAATAAATAATACTATAAAAAAAACATGGATAATAAAGAATAACATATATAGGTTTCATTTATTTATAATTATTTTATGTTAGTTTTGTTGTTAACCTTGTTACCTCTCAATCTCACAGTAACAACAAGTTCACATTGATTCCGTGTTAAAGAAATTTTTACGATGCAAGTAAAATTTAATGTCATTAAAATAAGTGAACATGAGTTTATATACACATAGTTATCTTTATTGATTAAGAGATCTTTTAGATGATATTCAAAAAAATTTTTGTCATGACTTAGATTTAAAGTGAATAATATCTCGATATACTATATGATTTTTGTTTGTCAAATTAGCCTATTTAGGTATATTGGATCATACATAATATATAATCAAAGGTCAATTACATTAAATGTTAATTAGCAGGGCACTTAATAGGATTTTTCAATTTGTAATAATTTTTCTTGGATAATGCTAAATAAATCCGTTCATTTTAGTAGATTATTTACATTTATTTTTAAACTAGTACGATATCCGTGCCTTCACATAGGTGACGAAGACACGGTTGCATCCATATTGTATGCATATTTTAAATTTACTAAGATGATTTGTATTAATAATATTGTTGTTTATATAAGTAATCTATTAATTAAAAGATGCAAAAGTTGTAAAAGGAGATTTTGAAATTGGTAATATATTTAAATGTATTTGTAATGGTTATGTAGTAACCCAATTTCGTCTGAGAAATATTAATTTTGTTCTTAAAAAATAGCAAAATAGGTATATACAAAAAAGAATAAAAAGGACAAAATTTCAAGCCCGGAACGGGCCGTTCGAACGGGCCGTTCCAACTTTCCAAAAGGTACTAAGATTGCAAGCCCGGAACGGGCCGTTCCCAATCTGGAACGGGCTATTCCAGCTTTCCTAAAAGCCCTAAAATTTCTAGCCCGGAATGGGCCGTTCCAAAACTGGAACGGGCCGTTTCAACCTTCCAAAATACCTCTAATTTTTGGCCCAGAACGGTCCGTTCCCACAACTGGAACGGGTCGTTCCCAAACTGGAACGGGTTGTTCCAATTTTTAAAAAAGACCTACAGTTTTTAGACCAGAACGGCCGTTCTGGAACTACCAAAATACCTAAATTTTTTAGCCCGGAACGGGCCGTTCCCAAACTGGAACGACCGTTCCGAAAGTGGTCGTTGTGAGTAAAATTGCCACCCCGGAACGGGCCGTTCCGGATTCAGAACGGGCCGTGCCAGTCCCTCCAGAAAGTCTATAAATAGACCCTACCCACACACACACCCACACACACATCTCCACCTTGGACCAGAGGGGACCCAAAGGAAGAGACCAACAAGTTACCGCTACTGTAGCGAAAAATTGTGAGTATATTAAACTCATTTTTTTAATTTATTTTTATATCTGTCGGTAGTTCTTATTTAAATTCAAAATGTGATTAAATACCAAAATATAGTGTTACAATATTTAATGTAAATATATGAAATTATTGTATCAAAATTTTATTGGAGGAATGGTTAACTAGATGTGACATCTTTTTAACCTTTGAATTTAAAGTACAAGTTGTGACAGCTTATCTTTAAATTTTTCCTCCAAAAAACGAAAATGTCCAACCAAGAAATTTTTTAATCACAACATTTATAACAATAATTATAATTACAATTTTACCGAATTGACTTTGGTGTACACCTTGGTCAATTTTATATTTTTAGGGTGAATGAGCTGAGACAGTTCAAGAATCCTATATTTAACAAAAATAAAATTTAATTAAAAATATGAACACACAAATATTTTCTACCAAAGAACTACGTGACTCTGATTCTTCATTACACATGAAGATACGTAGGAGCAAGAACTAAATCTTGTCGAGCCAAAAAATAAAAAAAAATATTATCCTCCTTTTTATATAACAATAATAATTTTAACCTTTTTTTCAATGCATAATTTAAATTAGTTAAATAAAATATATTTGATAATTTTTGTGAGATAAATATTTTATAAATTATAAATAATTAGTTTAATTAATTAAAGGTAATCGTCTTAGGACGAATGTTGTGAGGTGCTAATACCTTCCTCATACGTAATCGACTCCCGAACTCAAAAATTTGGTTTTCGTAGACTATTTTCTATTTTATGGTTTTTCCAATGTTTTTCCGTAAAAAATAACATTGGTGGCGACTCCTCTTTTTCAATTTATTTTTCGCCGTCCCGTCGCGACCGAAGTTGCTACAGGTTACAATGGAGATCAATTCCAAATATAGTTTAACGAACATAAGATACAATATACACTACAAATAATCCATATTTATGTTAAACGTATATACATTAAAGATATATACACAACTAAACACATTTTTATTATAATATATTAATATTATAATAGAAGTGTACCAAGTTTACAGCTACAAAGACAAAACATTGACATTTGTGAATTCTAACATTGCACTTAACAAATTTCATTTTATTTAGTATAACATCCATAGTTAAAAATGACACATAAATAGTCAAAACATGTAATTTTATGACACTAAAATTTAGGATTTATCAGTTGAATTTAGCTCCACCTAATATGTTTGGAGTGCATCTCACATTCCATATTAAATGTTGAAATGGTAATTCATGCATCTACTAGAACATTAAGAGATTAACAAGTATATATTAACATGAATTGTACTTATAATTTTAAATAGAAAAAAGAGATATAAAAAGATACACACAAAACACAATATTTATTATTTAAGAAACTAAAATAAAATTAAATATGAGATGACACCATGTCATTTTTACTTCTTTTCTCCAAAATCATAACAAACTAAACATAATAAATGATGTAAGAAAATTTTTAACATCAACAACAAAGTAAAAAATCAGAGTTCCCTCGTTAAATATGTCATCCCTTACTTGTCTTCCCCCAAAACTAAAAAAGAATTAACAAACAAAATTGTAAAAAATGGGTACCCTCGTCCCGACACATCATGCTTACTTTTTCTTCCTCCAAAATTGTTAAAAAATCTAAACATAATTGAGGAGATGCATGAATTTTTATAAACTTTTTTGCTATGCAGTTTGATACTCATGAATAAAATTATTGAATTTTATAATAATTATTTTTAAAATTATATCTAAGATTATTTTTACATGCAATTAATTGTGTGAAATTTTTATACTGATAATACATGAAAATTAAACTTATATAATTAAATAAACTTAAATATCTTTTAAATTTATAAAAAGTAGATAAGTACCTCCCTTAATCAGATAAGAGATATTATTTGATAAAATATATTTAATATTCGTATTAAACGTCTCAAACAGTTATTTATCATCATAAAAAAACGATAAAAATAATCAAAAGAAATTTTTAAATTGAATTTAAAATGTTATAACAGTCATCTTCTATAAATTATTATATAAGAAGATTCAAATTAATATATATATATATAATTTTTAATTTTACATAAACACTCACAAAATATACCGAAGTCGTGCAAGGTTTTACCCATCTATTAGTGATATCGATGAATGATAGGCTAGATAAAAGAAAGTTGGGAATTACTGTTTGTAACATGGGAAAAACAGAGGGAAAAACTTGTGGTCCCCGAAGCACGAGTTTATTTTCCATTCCCGAATAACAAGAATGTTAAATAAATAAAAATGTCGGTATAATTTTACATCTTGAAACTAAGCGCAGCATAGATGAGGGATGATTTTACGGTGTTACATAAATCTCATCCAATAACTATATAGTTTCAACCCATCAACGGTTATATCACACATGCGGACCCAACACGTCTAGCAATATCATCCCCACTCTGATAATAAGGACACGTACGTAAACGTGGTGATGACGAGATGGTTGAGTAAGAGTGCAATTAGAGCAGTGGATTTGTAAAGGAAAATTGAAAAAGATCAATAATCATTTTACACATTTTTTTTCTTCCTTTTCGATGCTTACATGTAGCTCTGCCTTTGGGTCACGAATTCTTGAACATCACCCATTTTATGCAGCGAGAAACACCAGAACATCCCATATTAGTTCCCACGTACCTTTCACAACACTTTGGTGGGCCCCCAAATTCTCCCTCCGTTTTTCCCTGCCTCCTATTCGTCTGTTGTTTTGGGATGCATATATATATTTCATTATTTAATAATTAGGCAGAAAAAGGAGTGGGGTTTATTATTATTATTATTATTATTATTATTATATAAAGGTGGGTGTGGGACTTTAGGTTCATCTCATCACACAAGTGCATTAGTGCTATGGGGAGGCAACCTTGCTGTGACAAACTTGGTGTGAAGAAGGGTCCATGGACTGCTGAGGAAGACAAAAAACTCATCAACTTCATTCTCACCAATGGCCAGTGTTGTTGGCGTGCTGTTCCAAAGCTTGCTGGTCTTAGAAGATGTGGCAAGAGTTGTCGTCTTCGTTGGACCAATTATCTAAGACCTGACTTGAAGAGAGGGCTCCTCACACAGGCAGAAGAACAGCTAGTTATCGATCTCCATGCTCGTCTTGGCAACAGGTTTTTTTTCATTTTTCACTTGAGCATTGCATGCCTTGTGTTAATTTAGAATGAAACACGAGCACAAATTAATCTTTGGCACACTACGTGTAATATGTTCATGGATAAAAAAATTTAGAATGATACCATGTGCTTCAAACCTCTTTCAAGTCCTAGCTAGTCACTAATTGCCATCACTTACGTGTATAAATATAATCCATGTATGATGTTCAAGAGGGTACTCCAATTGAAATCATGTTTTAAACTTGACAACTTAAGCCAAGTGATTGAAGGCTTATTATTGTTGTAGGTGTGAAACATGTAACAACGACCGTATAAAAATATGGTCAATTGATCATATTTGCCTTGTTATATACTATTGGAAAGACGAGGACTGCCGACCTGACTTACCTGTTTGTCTGTATATTTTATTCTTTGAAATTGGATCTTTTGCATAAGTAACAGGTTTAACTTTTTTTATCAATATAACTGATGTGATCAATAGTAGGTAAGCACTTAAAGGACATCAATGGTGTATCAAGTTGGATGATTAGAATGCGTGAGAGACGTTGTAAATCTCTTGGTATAAGTTTGATTTTGATAAAGGAAAAAAAAAACTTGAAAAAATGGAGACCAAATAATTATTTTTGTCGAATGCAAAAGTCAGTAAATTGGAGATGGTTGTTGAGTAAAGAATAGTGACATATTGTTATTAGTTAGGATATAAATGGCAGTAATTGAATTGAAGATCTTACTTGAAGCGATGTATACGATTTATTTGATATGAGTACTTACCTTTGGGACCAAGAAAGACCCTAACATCAAGGCTGAAGCTTATCCGTAAATGTAGCGACTTAACTTGCAGATAGGGTCATAAGTTTTGTTTGATTGTTTGTCTCAGGTGGTCCAAGATTGCTGCGAGGTTACCAGGAAGGACAGACAACGAGATTAAAAATCACTGGAACACCCACATAAAGAAAAAGCTCCTTAAGATGGGTATTGATCCTGTTACTCATGAACCTCTTAACAAACAAGTCACATCATCTCAGGATAGTTCCTCCCCTGCACAACATTTGCCACAAGCTGATAGCACCCTTCAAGTTGAACAAAAAGTAGGGGCTCTCAATTCGGAAGAGAATTCCACCTCATCACCAAATGAAAATTCTTCTTCCCTTTTGGTGGAAAGCATTTGCAAGAATAATGAGTCTCTCATGAACAGCATTTGGCTGGATGAATCTCCTCTTATGGACACATTATGGGACATTACACCTAAAGTAGAGAATGAAAACAATGACATGGGCTTGCCAATATGGGAGGATAATTGTTCTTGGTTGTTGGACTTCCAGGACTTTGGTGTTCATGATTTTGGTTTTAATTGTTTCAGCGAGATTGAGTCAAATGCACTGCAAACTATAGGCATGGACAGAAAAGGGCTTTAGGGTACACTACATCTGGTAAACTGAGTTGGTCCTTAAGAAACAGAGCAACCTATCAAATATTATATGTGACAATATGGGAATAAATCCAATCTCTTGTGTCCATGTCACGTTCAAATTTTGTGTTTATCTCTGTCTTGATGAATATTAGATAAGTTCTCCTTATTTATTATTTGTCAAGAAAGTGATATATACGACATTTGAACGTGATTTTGTTATGTTAAAATTTGACACGAGGATTAACAAAATACCATGGACTTGAATTTAGGTTCTTGGTGTTGATTCTGTTGAATTTTATCTAGCTATTATGTTACATAATAAGACCGGAAGGTGGACGGCGAACCTTTCCTCTTATGAGCCACTTCACCAACCAAATCACAGAAATGATACCGAACAAAATCCCCCAAATGCCACATTATATGTATTATTGTAAATGCTGTAATCTTGTGTATGGTAGGCACAAGAAAATGTAACAAGTCAAACTGCTACTGGGTTTTGTGATAATATATTTACTGTATATAGATATTTAATTTGAAAATACTGTTAATTTTTTTTTTTTTTGTGGTTATAAATTCTGCTATAATCTTCTCATTTCCTGGCTACTGTCACATGGAGATGGATGGACATAAAAATTGGGGAGTTGAATAATGACTTGCCATGAACATTGAATCCACAGGTGAGGGGTGGGGCACATGTTTTGTTTTCATGGCAGAATAACATTTTTGACATTCTAATTCTAATGAAGCACAAGGGTGGAGGCGTGGAGCGTATGTTTTGTCAAAACACAAGAGTGCTTTAATACTTTTTTTTTAATTGTTTTTTAATGTATGGAACCACGAATAGTGTTTCGTTGTTGTCATATCCACGATAAGTTGGCAAATGACAACATCACAACACCCTGTCTCTCTCACATCCGCTCCTCACCTTTTGCTAGTTGATCACTTTCCCTTCTTTAATTATATTACAAGGCAACTTTTGAAAATGCATCAAAATAATTCACAGAATTATAAATATTGGTTAAGTTATGTTTTATTGTTATAAAAAATAATTTAGTCTTTAATTTTATCAATCTTTATTTAGTCCTTAAAATTATTAATAAATTTAATTTCTAATAATCAATTTCTACTTTACAAACTTACAACATTATTTTTCTTTATTTCTTTATTACATTAGTAATTTTATTTCATATATATTTACACTCTTATTTTCTCATCACTCTTTAATAAATATATTATTATTGAAAAAATATAAAGTAAGAGAATTATTAATGTAACACTTAAATTTGACTATCATCATTTATTTCATTCCTCAATTCCTTCATCTCTAACATTAAAAATATTATAATTAGACATAACAAATGAATTTGTTTATTCACTATTCATTGGATTCATTTACAAGTAAATTTATTCATTATAATAAAAATAATTAATAAATCAAATATAATCCATTCATCTAATTTTATGGATAGATATTGATTCACCATTACTTTTTTAAAATTCATTGAATTATAATATGAGACATTTATTAGTTTAAAATTTTTAAAAACTATTTTAACATGAAAAAGTATTATAAATTATAAAAAAAATAAACTACAATAACTTATAAAGAAAAGAGAAATAAATAAATTATATTAAAAATAAAAAATATTTAATTTTAAAACATCACTTTTATAAATAGATTGAATATCCATTTATGAAGAATTATTAATAAATGAATTAGATGAATTTTTTTTAAATAAATTAAATTTTATATAAATTTTTAATAAATTTAATTATTTATTTTTATCCGATCCATTATAACTTAAAAAAAAATCTGGTTATTTGCTACCCTACCTATAGTCAAGGATTCAATGAATGGTATATGGACATTTAAGTCAGGAATTGAAACGATTGATATAGTTTCTAAACTTTAAAAGTTAAAAAATTGACGCATGCTTAATATCAAACCCCTCTCTTCACCAAATGAAAAAATATATAAAGGAATAGAGTTAGATGGTACCATTTATATGCGAACATAAAGCAATTCCAATCATATATAGCTGGGCCCTAACCATGTAAGTGGTTGGATCATAATATATATTCCCAGCACGGGTGAGGTTCTATTTGTTTCTTCTTGAGCAACAATATACGTGGCAAGAAAGGGAGCTTTAATTGGCTACCTTTGGACAGATAAAGCCGAAATAAGGAAAAAAGCAAAAGAATAACCAAATGGAGATCGCATTGTCCATGGGGAAGTTTGTGACTATTATATATACTCACTCTGTCGTCATTTTGATAATAAAAAAAATGAAAGTATACTTAATCAGGTGTCAGGATTGGATAAACAAATTGTCCTTTAAGGAACTTTTGGATGCATTGGGCATATCGGATCCTGATAGCACTCCCAGTCCCATTAGCTTAACTGCTCAGTGGAGTTAATCATGATACATTTCAGAAAGCAAACAACACGATTTAGGCAACTCATTATACCCCCTCCCCACCCAAAAAAAAATATATATTTTGTTAGTAGAATTGGGCACAAATCCATCTCCTGAACCCAACACAAAATTTTAAGGAAAAAAAATTGTTTTTTGACAGTTTCGAATGGGTTATCAGATAGATCATGTTAGCCTTTTGAGTTTATACGAGTTATGTCCTGCAAATTTGGTTTTAAAATTTTTAAATCCATCCAAAATCGACCTGCCCACAATCAGATAAAAGACATTAAAACCATATATATTATAGTCGACGTATAAATAGGGGCGGACCTTCTCTATGACATACGGCTACCCTATACTTTTCCAAATTTTCATATATATATAAATAGGGAACGTGTTAATATATTTTTATCTATTTTTTAGCTGAAGTATGTTAATAACTTATACTAAAATTTTAGAATAGAAAAATCACTCATTTTTTTTTATTTGGTTAATTTATATAAAGGATATTATAATAATTTAATTTAATTTTAAATGAAAATAAAATATTTTTTTTCTTTTATTAACTTAATTCTCTAAGTCATTTTTATTTTCTATTAAATTCCTTCTCCAACCTACTTCTCTTTCTTATTAAATTCTTTCTTTAACTTATTTATCTCTCTCCTATTAAATTTCTTCTTTAACTCATTTCTCTCTCATCTCTCATGATGTCTCCTCTCTTTATGAAGAAATAAAAAGTTAATTAATAAAAAAAAATTAGAGAATAAAGTTAATAAGAGAGAGAAAATATTTTATTTTCTTTTAAAATTAAATTAAATTACTATAATATTCTTTGTACAAATTAATCAAATAAAAAAAAATGAGTGATTTTCTTGTCCTAAAATTTTGGTGTAGGTTGCTAACATACTCCAACTAAAAAATAAGTGGGAGTATATTAGCATTCCCCATATATATATATATATATATATATATTAATATTATATTTATATATTGTTATATTATTAATTGTAATAAAATTAAAAAAAATGAGTAAAAAAAAGAGAAATTCTATTTTTTATTTAATAAAAAA